GATACCACGAATAAATATCCTCCATTGTTTCATAATTCACTTCAGACTCAACAATTTTAAAAGTTTCCAGTAAATTGTTTAAAAATAATTCCTTTATGACCTTGTATCGTTCATCCATCGGTATGCGTCTAATGAGATGTTTCATATACTTATATTTACACCAAGAACGTATTTCATCTCGTTCACTTTGCAGTTGTTTTATTATGAAACTTTTGATCTGCTCAATTTTCAAATGTTTTGCAAATTCAGCTAAATCAATGTTATGGCAATATTTATGAAAATGCTCTTGAACCATCTGCGGATATTTATCCATCAAAAAACGCGTAGCCCTTTTCCCAAAGTTAGGTCTATATATTTCTTCCACTGAATGGACAATCTCCAAATACTCTGTTGTATTAGTATACAAAAACGATGTACCATTCTTAAGCCAACATGGTGAAGGATATGTCTCACAACAAATTTTCAAAATTGCCAAAGATTTACCGCATAGACGTTGCATTATATCAGTGTTTATATTTTTTCCTTCTTCTTTCACGACGCTTATGATAAGAGTTTCAGAACAATGAGGTAACCATTTCTGAACATACTTGAAGTTTTCTCTATAAAAATTGAAAAATTCATCAACACGTTTAGCGTTTTTTAGATTGAGTTTTATAGAATGGAGTAGTTTGTTTTTTGCCTTGTTGGTCATTTTGGGGAAAAGCTCTTCGAAAAGGTAGCGTGAGTTGATTATGTGCGCATATTGGTCATCGGAGATCAGCCACGTGCTGTGCCGCAACGCATGAGATACGTACAACTCATCTTTACACTTGAACACCTCCAACACATACGTAGTGTCCCTCCGTAAGCATGCCACATTTATTTTGAATAAATTATCGATATCTTTATCATCATAATCAATGCTTTTCAATTTAAATGTTACATCGAACGAAGCTGCTTTTACGAGAGTATTATAATCTTGATATTTCTGTCCAAGAGTCACTCCCCTTAACACCACTGGCGACATTTCTTACCTGAAGATAATAAAATAAATCATTTTTAAAGGTGAAATGAAATAATTTATTTGAAAAATACGAGAATAGTAAAATGGCTTTATTCTAAATCCATTCTCGCGGACCACTTAATATGGCGGACTAGTTTAAGCACTCTCGTAATTTTCATATAATGTATGAGATACATTAATCGTCTCATATATATATTTTAAGTATGATAACACTAGATTCTTTCTACCTTCCTTCCTTTTTACATTGTCATCATACCCGGGTGCGTAATATATTATAAATAAGTAATTAATGCAATTATATACTTATAGAACTTATATTTTGATAAATAAAGGTTTGTACAAGTCAACTTAGTGCTGTTTGTCATTTGTGCCTGTCTCCGCTCACCCTTTACAACCTCAATAGGTTATGGGCCCAGCGTACTTTCTGTGAGCGTGAGTTTTATCAGTACACTACAACAGCACAAATTGCTTTTTATATTGTTCTTCGTTTGCGTTTTGCATCCGGCCCATAATCATCAGATTATAGATATGGCTGAAGGGGCGAATGCGAAATTACCGGCGTTTTCATCAAAACCAAGTAACGTGATGGCTACACCTGCAATGGAGAAATTAGATGCCCTGCACATTTTCACTCTTGGAAATTTAATAGTTTGATTTTTAGTGAGGCGCGCATCTGATTTGTCCTGAAACCTCGCTTATACCAATACGTCCGAAATGCCAGAACTGCTGCCCAAGCTTGGAAGACATAGGATAAATTACATTGAATGAATTTGACTATATGAGTAAATATAATTTTTATTTGGATAGTGGTGCAAGCTATCGTATGGTTAACGTTATCATTGTTTAGTAAAATTAGTCCTTGTTATACTTTAATTAAAGTTGCTAATGGTGAAACGTTAACAAGCCAAGGCGTAGGAACTATTAAGTTAACAATTGCTGGTCAGGATAGTTAGCTGAAGAATTGTGAGCCATGTCTACGGGGGAAGTTGTCAGCCGCGTCTTATCCTAGTGGACAGGCACACCGGGCTGCTGAGCCACTGGAACTGATTGATAGTGACGTTTGTGGACCAATACCGGAGCCAAGTTGGGGTGACGCAAGATATCTAGTCACTTTCACGGATAACTACACCCGTAAAACTTACGGATATCTTATGAAACAAAAATTTGAGATGGCGCTAATAAGAAAGAACATTATAAGAAAATTTTGACTGCACCAGACTCCATAGAAGAGTCAGATGCTGATGAGCATTTTCAGAGTATGTCGTCATCCAGCCAGTGTTCTGATGGAAAGGAGGAGTTGTTGTCGGTTAAATCCGAAATGCCTTTTCAGTCGACAAGGGTGACACAGCGTCCTGAACGCAATTTACCAAATTACCACAGAGTTATAGTGATTATGATTGTAGTATGTTAAGTTGGTATGCTCTGTGTGAGGAACCAGTTTCATATGATGACGCTTTATCTTCCCCACATCGTGAAAACTGGCTGCAAGTCATCCAAAACGAATATTATTCACTTTTAAAACATAAAGTTTGGAAACTGATAACACGACCTACTAACACAAACATGTTAAATGCAAATGGGTTTACAAGATAAAGCATGATGCGAATGGCAGGTTTGATAGGTTCAAGGCAATGAGTAGATTAAAATGATACTTTTTCTCCAGTTGTAAAACATTGCTCTATGAAGATATTGTTTTCATTGGCAAATGAGATGGACCTGAAAATTGATCATATTGATGTCACAACAGCTTTTCTTATTGGTGATCTTAACGAAATTAAACCTCAGGGTTTTAGTACTAATAATTCAAGTGAAGTTTGTCTATTCCAAAAAAATTTCAATGGATTAAAACAAGCTAGTAAAATGTAGAATGAGAAATTACATAATGTTTTAACAATTTTTTTCAAACAATCTCTTTGTGAACCATGTATCTATATAAAGAAGTTCAATAGTGACTTTGTTGTTCTTGAAATATATTTTGACGATTTTTATGTTTTTAATTCCAAGTATAAACAAAGAACAGTTATCGAATATATTACAACTTAAATTTAATTATTATTTAATGTTTAAGTATGAGAGTCGCGAGACAGAAATAAAGGTATTTTAAGTTGAGATCAAACTGAATATATTTAAAAACTACTACAACGTTTTAATATGGAAAATTGTAAACGAGTGATTATCACTATGATTTTGAATTGTAAATTGATGAGAGATAGTGATGTAAATGTATATTTAAAAAACGATCCATATTACTATAGACAACTTATGGGAAGTCTCATGCATCCGTCTGTGGGTACTAGACGGAATATTACATTTTCATGTAGCCAAGTTGGGTCAATTTAAAAATTGCTTTGAAAAACACATTGAGTAGCAGCTAAGCGAATTTAGAGGTATCTAGCTGATACACTTAACAATTCTTTATATATATATATATATATAAAAGGCGATGTCCTGACTTACTGACTGACAGACAATGCACAGCCTAAACCTATGGTCGTAGAAAAGATTCCCATCCGTTAAAGTTTATATCACCACCATATATCTTAAATAAAAGAAGGGGTATCCTAATTTACTAATAGACAAAACACAGCCTTAAACGCTGGTCATTTTGCAATTAAGAGGGTACATTCGTCTTATTGCGTAGGTACTAATAGCGATTTTTTGGAAATTCTACTTTGAAGAGAGTTAAAAGGGATAAAACGTTTCTATGAAACTTTTTTGTTTTTGGATCGATGAAAATGACCGAAAACTACCACTTATAGGGATGAAAACGGGAGTGGAAGTTTTTATGGATGAAATATTACCTTAGCAACCATTGTTTATTTATTTGATTTGTCATTGTAATAAAATCTAATATTTTTACAAATATTGAATTGCATAGCGATGAAAATTGGTGTTTATGTAATTTATAACAAAACAATATATTTAAAACTTGTTTTTCTTGAAAATGTTCAAATAAAAGTAATTTCGTTTACGAAAGAAAAAATATTTTTATATTTTTGAATTACACTAGATGGCGTTAAATATTCTACACTACACTGTTTTGCTCAAGATTGAGTTTTAAAATAAAATGTTGTAAGAAATTTAAGCTTTTCAGTACTAGATGGCGTTTAGAATTTTGCGAAGATTACGTTTTTGATTATGTTTTGTGTAAACTTCGGAACTGGTTTCCATGTTTCATTTTCATTTCAAATTAGATGGGATTGGATTGCATTAACATCTCTAAAGTTTTTAAAGTGCCGAAATATATTGGATATTTGTTTGTTTTTTGTTGTAGTATCTTCGAACTTAAACATCAAGGTAATTTCATCATCAGCTCGAAAAACAACAGCGTTTTTGGAAAATGCTTGTATATTATAAATTAGTAATTAATGCAATTATATACTTGAAGAACCTATATTTTGATAAATAAATATTCATACAAGTCACCTTAGTGCTGTTTGTCATTTGTGGCTTTCTCCGCTCACCCTTTACAACCTCAATAGTAATATGGGTATCAAATAAAAGGGTTCAGTTTATGATGATAATGAGATTATGACAAAATAGTAAAAACACAAATGGGAACAAGCTTTCGCTAGTAAATCGAAGCAAATCTATAAAAGTAGGTCTCTACTGAAAATAAATCAGTCATATTATAACACGAGTACTAAATTTGGTTCCTAGTTTAAACCATTATCCGACCAAAATAAGTTAACACGTCTCAAATTGAGGTTCTCTTCTGTGATTGGTCATTTGCTTAGCGGCCTTAAAAATGAACACTGAAAAAAAACAAATTAATGGATACTTAAAGAATAAATGTGTTTATACTTTTTATCTATTTATTGTTCAGATTTTTTTACTGATTGATGATTTCATTTAAGCCGATACTTATTATATCTATTGATTCAACATAATTGCAATTATAAAAGGTATCGTAACAGATTACACCCATAAAATATATAATATATGTATAACAATAAGACAAGAATCTGGGATATAATCTTAAATTTTATTGCAGCATCTAATACACCTCCGAATCATTTGGGCGACCTCTACCATACATAAGACCAGGACGACCCCAATCAGAGTTTTCGTCTTCTTTATAAACATGATATGGTAAATCACAGTGGCGATAGTGGGTTCTAATGACTTTTGAAGGATGACACAAAATAACGTTTTTCAATTCCTCATCAAAAGTAAATTTGTATTCACCACTCCCTGAATTTATATACATGCAACGAACAACTCCGATGACGATAAGATAACAAGCCTCAATTTCTGTGGCATTTTCATCTAGCAGCATATGTTTCAAAGTTTGATTCATAACTGAATAAGGGAAACTGAGCGATATCAATGCATCCATCATCGATTTTGAGGCCAGCGGCCAAAGAAAAGAATATCTGGATATTCTGTTCTCTTGTATAAAATATTTCAAACAAGCTTTTCCAAATACTGGTGCAATGTTAGAATAAACTTCTATAAAATCTGGACATTCGTATTGATAGTTATAGTAATATTTCTTCATGTTTTCACAAATGCTTTGAAATTTGTCGCTATAAGAAAAATTCTCAAGTAATTCTACAAATATTACTGTTAAATTCCAAAATGTTATTATATTATATTCTTTTTCCAACGAGAACGATTCCGCAATACTATTTTGAATTTTTTTGAATAAGTACGTAGGGACAACATAGTTTTTTGTATTCAATAATCGTTTTGATACATTCAAGGAAAGGCTTTCCAAAATTTTCTTGAATAAGCGTTTGTAATTCTGCCACACTGATAAAAACCGTTTTATGACCGGCAAAAACAATTTGTCAAATTTAATTTGTTGATTTTCTATACTATCGCTGAACGTCAAATATGCTGTTAATAATCGAAAAACATTATCACGATGGTAATAATAGACATTGTCGTCCTCGGTAAAACATTGATCAATGGCTTCACATAATACTTCTTCCACGACATCAATATCCAATAGTTCAACGTTAAATCTCATGTATCTATAAAAATCACCATAGAATTCTTTCTGATTTGTTGTGGGGTATGATTTCAAATATTGAAAACATTTAATGTAAAATTTGTGCTTTATAAGTTTTGGTACTGCATTAATGTTGTCTTTCTTTGTTTTAACAGATTCATAAAATTCAGGGGTTAAATAATCGAATAAGACACTTAAAAGTTCCCATATCCTTTCAATCATTTTCGATTCTTTCTCTTTAATTAAAAGTTTGTAAATGTGTTTAAACAGCCCACACTTTACGGAATAGCTGCCTTTATTCCATACAATTAGCACAATATTTTTTGCTTTGACAGTTTCTAAATTTTCCAAAATATATCGGATACCTAGCCTCTGGAAACTATCAGAATCGTCTAAAAATTTAAGTATATAAGTAGAAGCATGATCATAATTGATACTGAGAAAGATGTCATAGAGTAGTGGAGCTGCAAATCTAAAGTAATCTCCTTTTGCATACAACAACACAGTATCGAGACTCATAGTAGGACGTATCATATACAGACTTCTACAAATGTTTTTCCTTATATTAAATGGGATAGTACTAGTTTCTTCCTTCCAATTGATCTTAGTAACTGCAGGTACATATTTGTCTACAAGTGTCAATGTTTCCATGCGAGGAAGTAAAATAAAGAGAGCTTCTACACAGACTTTGTTGTTTGTTGTTTGATGCAATCTCGTGAGATATAATTCACTCCACCGGTTGACTATAGAACTTGGCCAGTAGACCCGCAGCTTAATGAGAGTTCGTCTCATTGATATTGTATCGTTATCAATTATCATTTCTATCTTGCTCTTATCCCGTAATAACAAATCAGGATTATATTTTAATGCGATTAAATATGTTTCGTCACTTCGGTGTAAGAGTAGTGCATCTTCGAAAAAATATTTTTTAATATTTTTGTGCTTCTTGTAAAAAATAATGAACTCATTGGAAACCAATGAATCCGTACTCCACGAATTTTCTTTTATGATTTTGACTACCTCATGAATTTTTTCCATTATTGACGGATTCTCTTCGACGGTTTTATTCCAATGCTTCAAAAACTTAATAAAATCATCGCACATAGCAATCACAGTAACCAGATCAAATTTGTTATTAATTTCTTTAATAGTTATTTCTTTCAATGCGTGTTTATGTAAGTACTTAAACACTTTTTCGCTTTCTTCTGGTTCAAATTTTTGTCGAAAATTTATAAAATATTTTAATGCTATTTTTTTTTCTATAACTAAAGGTATGCATTTATCATTAAGAACATTATGAAATATAATTGCTGGAATACAGTTATGATAAATAGCTGGGTCAAGTATCTTTTTATCATCATAAACACCTAATTTATGGAATGTATTGTTCAGCATATTCCACGTAGTTTCATCATATTTGTATGTTTTTGTAATCCTGACCAAAATTAAGCTTATATATTCATTGTAAAGAGCTTTGGTGTGATATTCTTGATAGTAACGTAGTAGTGTTTGTATATGATACATGTTGCCAGCAGCACATCTCACTAGTACTCTGATAGCCCACGGACGTATACTTGAGCCGGGTACAGTATCCGTGAATAAAAAATCCATATCATTCAATACATTTAATTTGTCTATGATTTTCTCATCAAATATCACACTTTTTAATTTTTTAATTGCGATTTCAAAAGGAACATAACGGTACCATGAATAAAAATTCTCCATTTCTTCATCATTTACTTCAGAGTGAGCGACACCCAGAGAAAAATCTTTTTCAACTTTTAAAAATAATTCTTGTACGATTTGAAACCGTTCCTTCGTTGGAATACGTTCAATTATATGTTTCATATACTTATACCTACACCAAGAACGTATTTCATTTCTATCACTTTGTAATTGTTTTATTATGAAACTTTTTATCTCCTCAATTTTAAGGTGTTTCGCGAATTCAGGTAAATCAATTACGTAACAATATTTGTGAAAATTCTCATGGACCACCCCAGGAACATTATTCATTAAAAATCGTGTAGCTTTTTTACCAAATTGAGGTATATATTTATCCTGCATAGAATTAAGGATCTCCAAATATTCCTTTGTATCGGTGTACAGAAATGATTTACCACTTTTTAGCCAACGTTGTGAAGGGCATGTTTCACAACAAGTTTTCAAAATTGCCAATGATTTTCTGCACAAACGATGCATTACACTAACGCTAATATTTTTCCATTCTTCTTTAACAATACTTATAGTCAGAGTTTCGGAACAATAAGGTAACCATTTTTGGGCATTTTTGAAGTTTTCTTTTAAATAATTGAAAAATTCATCAGCACGTTTAGTGTTCCTCATATTAAGTCTGATGGAATAAAGTAGTTTATTTTTTGCTTTTTTGGTTATTTTAGAGAAAATCTCTTGTTGTAGATAGAGCGGGTTGATTATGTGCGCATACTGATCATCGGAGAAAAGCCACGCACTGTTATGAAGCGCGCGTGATACAAATTGCATATCCTTACATTTCAATACTTCAATTATATATCGTACGTCTCGCCGAGAACAAGCGACATCTGTCCTAAATAAATTATCGATGTCGTTATCTTCATAATCAATTCCTTCCAAATTTAATGTTTCGTCGTTAGAAGCCGTCTTTACGAGGGTATTATAATGCTTATGTTTTTGTCCAAGAGTGACGCCTTCTAGAACTAATAACGACATGGTCGTGGTTTACCTGAAAACAATTAAAATTTTTGGTAACTGACTTAGTTCTCCAGCCAAAGATCGAACACTTATGTGTAACAGTTCTCTTAGCAGTTCCTGGCAGACATTTTCAATCATTTCTGTCATTGCATTTTTTTTATATAATTGTAATTGATAATTGATTTTGCATTTGTTCAAAATTCGAAAGGATAATTTTCTATGTTCAACCAGTGTAATATTTTTTTATGTAAGTAGGTATGTTCATCGATTTCTTCTTGAACTGTGAACCGATTTCTATTAAATTTGTTGTTTTTATGAAAAAATAGTCGGAGCCTACTAAATGCAAATAAACAATCTTTGCTCTTTATAATATGAGTATAGATAATGTACTGGAAAAAAAGTAGGTCGAGCAAAGAAAAAAAAAATCTCTTTTCCCAAGACTTTCAATAAGTTGACATATTTTTTATATAGATCTTACTTATACCTATTATAAAGTTTGTAAGTTTATTACTTCTTCATTTAAAAATTACTGAACGGATTTTGATAAAATTTGATATACGGTTAAATCTGAGCCTGGATTAACATATACGCTACTATTTAACACAAAATAATTCCCCAGAGATTATGCGCGCGAAGCCGCAGGCGGAAACCTAGTATTTAATATTTTTATTGTTACCTATTATATAGAAAATATGACTAGAAAACATGAATTTTTGTTATGGTTTGAAGACAGTTCTTAAAACATTTTATTGTGATGCTGATGCTGTCGATACAAAAAGTGTTTTGCTGTTGAAGAAAGTTGTAAGTTTTATTAGAAAACTTTATCATGATAGGCATGAAGTTCACAAACTTAGTTGGCTCATAAATAAAGAACCTGGGAAAGAGAGATAAACGATAAGAGTGAGACGAAAAGGTAGGTTAGAAATAAATGAAGCATATTTGTTTTCTTTTTTAATATCCAAATCAACTCAAAATAATCAAGTTAATCTAGTCACATTAAAATTTCTTAATATATTTATATTGTTAGTTTATTAACATAGTGGTTGTAATATAACTTTACATCAACGGATGGGTTTAAACGTATCATTTCAACTAATTCATTTTTCAAAATCCGATTATCATCCCGATGCTCATCAATATACACATGCCGCAATATATCAATGGCGACAAAATACAATAAACGTTCGTCATTGTTAGTCAGTAGCCATTTTACAAACACTAAGTTGAAATCACTACTCAAACGAAAGATGTAAAATACTTCGAGAGTCACTCTAGATACATACAAGTGAAACGAATCGCAATCTAATAATATAGGCATAAAATATTCTAACCAAGCTTGTCCTATAGAACCTACAAATTCTAAACAATTTGAATTCAATATTGATTCGGGATGGTTAACAATGAATATGTTCTTATCTATTTTTAAATGATCTCTTAGCTTTTCCACTAAGATCACATATAAATTCCAAGTCATTATTAAATTAAGATCCTTTTCTAAACTCAAAACATTTTCAAGTTTGTTTCTAATATTAGAGAACAATTGGACGGGCGCAATAGCCTTAAATTTATTAATCGACGTAATAAAATTTGATGCAAGAGATTCCAAAATTCTGTACAATCCATGTTTAGAACTAATTGGATAAGGCCAATACGAGTCATGGCTCTGTTCATCCCAAGATTTAAAATAATGTTCCATTATTGGAATCAAAACCTTTTCGAATCTTTCATTTTGTTTTTTCTCATTATCACAGTTTAATAAGTACATAAACAGAATACTTGAACTGCAATCATCGTTTGACTTCAAAATTTCTTTCCTGACTATTTTCATTATGACCTCTTCTATAAAAGCCGATTCTAGAAAATTAAAGGCCTCTTCAGCATAATAACTTACAAGAAATTTATCTAACTCGCTTTTCGATTTAGTAGATTTCACAAATGAATACATTTTCATAAATAACTTAGGCTTTACAATTTCATTTACTTGAAATATACTAGTATACATTTTTTCTTTATCGCAAGGTAACAAATCATCGTAAACATCATTTACCAAATGTGAAATTTCTAAAACAATCTGTTCATTTGTTTCTTGACACAAAATACCTTCTAATTTTCCTATAAGCTTAAATTTCATTTTTTGATCACAGTTCATTACATTCTTCTTCAAAACAGAATGTACTAGACGCACAGCATACTTATGCAGAGGTCCGTACTTTAGCAATGCTAAAATAACACGCCAAAAGTCATTGGAACTCTTGTTTCGTAGAATTATGTCGAAAGAAGGGAGTAAATAATGAATATATTCTTTTCTCGCATACAACAATAATGTTGTCTCGTTTACCGAGGATGGACGCAACAAATATATATATCTAACTATATTTTGCCTCAGTCTAATGTCATTGTTGTTACATTCAGAAATTGTATCATCTGAAGCATACCTTTTTACAAAAAAAGACATAGCTTCTGTATATGGCAGAAGTATCAACAGTCCTTCCACAAGAGTTTTATAGCCAGCTGGGTATTGTAAATGGTCTAAGTAATTGTCAACCCATTGCTGAACAGTAGACTTTGGCCAGTAGATCCTCATCTTTTTATAGGTCCGCTTTAGAGAAACTGATTCGTTGAAACACTTCTTGACAAGCTCTTCTCTGTAGCGCGATAAAAGATTGAAATCGTGTTTCAAGGCGTACACACCCGTCATATCACACGGATATAGGTCCATCGACTCATTATGTAACTGCCTCATAAAAGATTTGTGCACTTTATATAATGTAGATAAATTAACACCCCAGCGTTTATCTATATTTGCCTTTATGATCTCTCGAATGCTAGCAATCACTACGGGATAGTCATCTGGGCCTTTATTCCAGTTTTTTAAAAGGACCAATGCCCCTGTAATCAAATCTACCATAACACTCATCTCTTCTTCATTCACAACATCCTTCTTGTACGATTTCGTGAAACACGATTCAAATACGTAATTCAAAACTTTTCGCTGTTCATCATCGTTTAGTTTACTGCGACAGTCAAGAAAGCTTTCGAAATTTACTTTCTTAATAAATGTTCCTGGAATTTGTTCATCATGAATCAATTTGTAAACGACCATGACCTCAAAACACTTCGGAACATTCTTGTTTGTGTCTGCGTAGAAATCCATACTTGTGAATATATCATCAAGAATAGACCAAACGCGTTCGCTGAATTTATTTAAACTTCTCGGTGAGAGTACCTTATTAAGAAACTGAACTTTATTCTCATACAATTCACCCATGTGTTTGGATTGATAATATTCCAATAATGTGTGTATGTTTTGTGAGTTATCTCTGGCGCTAGATACTAAAACACCCAGAATCAAGTTTCTTTTATATGGAGATGATTCTGTAGTAATTATGTTTTGTAATTCATGAAAAGCACTGTCGAAAGATATAAACTCATAGCACCTATATCCTAAGGCACCTTTTAAATCTGCTAAGCTAGACGCGCTCTTTGAATTAGAGTCAGTTTCTTCTTGCGCCAATATCATACGAATAAACTGCAATCTCTTTGTTTCGGGCATGTATCGAAAAAAATGTTTCAAATTTTCATATGTAAAAAAATGTTTCATGAAATCGTTTTTAATATGTCCTGTTAAAATATTTTCGATGTCTTCTTTTTCAATATACTTTACAAATGTAGGTAAATGAATACTATGGTAATACTTGTTAAAATTCGCAATAATATCTTGAGGGTATCGTTTCATTAAAGATCTAGTAAACTTTTTTCTAAACTTCGGCTTTTCATTCCCTGAACAAATTAAATCTAATATCTCTATAGCTTCTTGTCGTTTTGCGTGTAATAAATGTCTGTATAATAAATAACTGTCACGCAAGTGACTGTTCAAATAACATTTTAAAATCTTTGAAGATTTTCTGCAAAGATATTTTATAATTTTACAAGATATTTCATCAGCATGGTTGACCACGATATTCTGTGCAAAATCTATAGAACAATGGCGAAGCCAATGCTGAGCAACGGAGAAATTATCTTTATAATAATTAAAGAAGGCTTCGGCGCGAGCGGAGACTTTTAAATTTTTTTGTATGGAGGCAAGTAGTTTGTTTTTTGCATTAATCATCATATTTGGAAACAGTTCCTCGTTGAGATATTCGGGATTGATGATGTTCGCGTACTGTTCTTCAAATACAAGCCAGACGCTGCCTTTGATTGCGTGAGAGACATACAGTATGTCCTGACATTTCAATACATCGAGTATATACTCGACCATTCTTCTATTGCAAGCGACGTCTATCCGTAACATGTTGTTAATGTCACTTTCATTGTAATTCAGTTTACTTAGTTTGAAATTATCATCAGCATTGGCGGCTCTCACAAGATTATTATAGTTGCGCTGTTTCTGACCTAAAGTGTCGCCTTCTAACTCGATTGACGCCATTTTTACATCTGAAACCAGTATTTTCTTAAGTTGATAAATGAGATCGACACTTTGTTTCATGGACCTTCATAATTTTATCTAATGAAACTCAGATCATAGTCATTGTCGAAAATCGATGAGTACTTGTCATTTTGTAAAACATCAATAATAATTAGAATTGTCATACGTAGTCCACATTATTACATAGAAGATAGAAAGAAGATAAGAAGAAATATATTCAATTAAGTACGATTGTAGAGATTGCTTTGTATTTTTTTCTACCCAGTATATGTGGGAAATGAATGTTGCTAACTTGTACCACTATATAAACAAAAAAAAAAATTGTTTTTACACGGCTGCCCAAAAAAGAACTTTATTGATATATGTTTAATACCAAACATAAATAATAAAAGCGTTTTATTATTAATATAGAACCTAATTATCTCTTATAATTGTCACCTTCCGGTAGTATGGTGTGCACCAAATAAAATGATCTATAAACCTATTATCCTATTAATACTATAAATTTAAAAAGTTTGTCCGTCAATCACGCCGAAACTACTGAATGGATTTTGATAACATTTGGTATACAGATAGGGTATTAGCTGAC